CGGACTGTTTTCTTGTAAATACTTAATTTCTATAATTGATGAGTGATGAAAATGCTTTAATGTTGCCAAGTTACAGTTTTCTGCCGTAAGGTTACTTGGAGTATTGGATGTGATTTAGAAATCATGCCAAAGACTTTTATCATAATTATATAATATTATTGTAATTGTTTGGTATTAACAATGGCATTTGTTTAATATTTAAGAATATAAAACTGATAACAATAATTATTCACAGAATTTAAAAACCAAATATGGGATATTTATTTATCACATCGTTCAAAGCAGACAAGGTTTTAATTTTAATTATGTTTTTTTTTAACAGCGAATTGGCTGTTCGAAAGTGAATACTGACAAAAAATCGTAAGTTTGTTTCAAAATTACTATTTACGTTTATCTCTTTACGAGCTCGAAATGGTTTCAAATGTTGAACGTTATTTTCAGCAAAAAGTGATATAACATCATTAACTGGTGTGTACTTTAAACTATGATTCCCCTTTGGTTTAAAACTTTCAAACCCTGATTGGATCACTTAGAAATATAAATTTAACACATTTTTTTCAGATAATACTTATCAATAACTATGTTAATACCTCTTTTCATAGATAAGTACAATATCCTACAGGGAAAGCAGATATGGTTTAACTAAATGACTGGAATATATGACATTTTCATGACACAGTGCTTGGTCCTTTTTTCTTTCCGAGTGTTACTGGGCGAAGTGGGATTAATATATTTCAGAACCACTCAGAACCCCAAAACAGTTTATAATTCAATAATTGATGCTTTGTTTACATTGGGAATATTTGCTCTAAATTCAGATAAACCTATTGTGTATAGATTCAGCGTTTAAAATTTACTTATTAAAATTTTTTAACATGGTTGTTATGTCACGATGGTACCATGTATTGCCTATATGATACATGTATATTAAACGATGTAGGTTGAGGAAATGAGTTGCAAATTATCATATGCAAAGAACCGATTAAAGTAAAGCTACAGTCACGCGTATGTTAAAAAATTACTTTTGTGAGTTCTTAAATGTGCCCACATTTTATGAGGAAATAACCTAGTTATAACTTATACGGAATGAACAAACGTGAAATGAGATACATTTTTGAATCTCATAGAAGATTTGAAAACATCTCTAAGATTGTTACTAGATATATTTTGCATCAATGACAATAATATCTTTTAATAAATTTGTTGAATCAGGTATCGGATTATTTTTCAGTTAAGATTATGGTTATCTTACAACAGACAATTATACATATTCCATGTATGTTCGTTATAAATAACTGCTCTGAAAAAAGCAAAATTAATATCTAATGCTACATGGTTAAATGACAATAAATAATGCTTAAATTGTAATCCTAGGAAAAGTTTTTAATGATATCAATCAAACAAACAAATCAAAACAAAATACCACATCGATAGCGGGCTGATACACATTTGATCATGCAAAAAGAAGCAGAAACGTTTTTTCTGGAATAGAATTATACGTCTATTATTTAACTTTACCCATAAAATATGGTGCTATATCAGTCAAATATAGTTCATATTTTTTAAAAATAAATTTGAAATGTAAATATGAAAGTGGGCGGAGTGAAAACTCATATCTATTTTAAGGGACTATTTTCGCTATTTTGATTGAAAAATCTGATAAATACAAAAACTCTTGTTGAATTTTGTTTTGAAAACTATCTAGAATGATAGAAAATGGTCTAACTAAGAAAATAAATCCAACACTAATATCTTTTATTCAGTCATTAACGTTGTATCGACGTTTAAAGAGTCGTTTAGGTGACATTAACAAGACAATAATTATATTACTGCGCGCTGAACAATGACAGTTGCGTAGCAAGCAAGGAGGTTCGCAACCATTTTTCTTTACTAATAAAATTAAATAAAAAAGTTATATTTTCGTTTTTCGTGAAATATGGTATATATTTTCACTCAACATGATAAAATGCCACATATTTTCACGAGCCGGGAAGGCGAGGCATTTTATCATATTTCGTAAAAATATATTCCACGAAAAATTATCCTCTTAATATTCATTCTGCGTTTCATTGTCTGTTTTTCGTATATGGAAGCCATTGTTCATGCTCACAACGTACCAGTGCAAAGTCATTTGACAAGTCTGATAGTCTTGTATGATTGTTTTGCAATGTTTACACAAATAAGCAACGTAATAACACGAACGTTTTCCATGTTCAGAACAAGATGATTAACGTGGCGCACACAGCAGGAGATATAATCCCGAAATGCTTCAATATACGTAAGTAAATGCTTTGTCAGGTATGATATATTTTATATTATATTTAAAATAGACAAAGTGATTCTATGTGAAAAAATATTTTATCAAAAACAATAAATGTAGAAAGCAGAAATGAATTTGACTTCGCAAAATATTTTTAAACATTTCCTGGAAAATGATTGCGAAATTGTTTTAGAAATGTGCAATGATTTCAGAAACAGAAAGAAACAACAAGTGACGAAAACAAGGTTTTTCAACCACAAAGTAATGATGTGACAGAAATTAGGAATGAATTACTAGTTGGACAGTTGAAAGACAAATGTTACTGTATTTTGTACAACAAAGAAGGGTTTTTAGTAGTTTCAAACCTAGAATATTATGATACATGCGTTCAATGGCCGGCTTGTATTTCCATATAACTCAAATGTCCAAGTGAAGTATTAATAGGACAAAGGGAATTGACCTCGACTTTGTTCACAGACACTTGGGTAGCAAACTAGTTGCCTCTTGATATAAGCTACCCACATACTAATTTGGTGTCAATAAGTCGCAGCTAACTCGACTTTTTATGTTGAAACTAAATTTCTATTTCTAGCAACAGTCATATGACATTACTCAAAGTCACCAGGGTAGTAATCCGGAGTAGTGTCCGAATACTGATTTGTGAAAGTAATCTGAAGTAATTGAGTGACAACTTATTTCATTATTTTAGCAACAGTAACCTTGATCATACACATCTGAGAAACAATTCCAAGCTGCTCTTTATATAAGCTACCTAGATGCAAAGTGTGGCGTCTATAGGCCAAAACAAACGGAAGTAATTGAGTTGAAACTGAGTTTCTATTTTAAGCGACAGTGGTCTGGACATTGACCACATAAACCCGGGTAGATATCCCAAGCTGCCTCTTGATAAAAGCTGCCAATAAACCAAGTTTTATGTCAATAGGCTAGAGCAAACTCAAATGATAAAGCGGAAACTAAATTTATTTTGGCAACCGTGACCTTGATCACAGTTGCCATGTAGCAGACCCAAGTTGCCTTTTTATATAATCTACCCATACACCAAATGACAATAGGCCTAAGCAAACTCAAGTTATTGAGCAGAAACAAAATTTGTAATTTCAGCAACAGTGACTTGACCTTGATTACTGACACCCGGGTATCTTGATAAAGCTACCACTAGCTCTCGGTGGTGATACATTTAATGTTTAAAAATTATTTGAATCGTTTGCTTTTGTTCAAACGACATCAAGATGATTGCTGCGCGAGGTTCCTGAAGGTTCACAGCTGCATTTCCTTGAGATGTTGCTACATGAATAAAAAAATTTTTAAACCGGTTATCTGGGACAAAACCAAAAAATTTTTAATTTTTTGTCGTTTTTTTCTGTGCGTTTTTTGAAAAAAACTGGCATTAGTGTTTTGGTCCATAAAAGTCAGCCCGGGGTTTGGTTGTTATGCAGAGCTCACAAAAATTTTCGTTTCTTTTGTCGCGCAAAAAAATGCTTTCTCTCACAACATACATACATTGAAACACTGGTAACACCTCACTCTGATAGTTGTTTTTAAATAAATTGCATGATGCATTTGGATTTTTACTATCTATATTTAATTTTATCTTATCTCATTTACGACTTGTTACAATTGATTTTAATATATCTTTTACTTAATATAAACCACCATCGTTTAAGCGAGCGCAGAAGTCTAGGTTAATTTGGATCATTCCTCGTATATTATTTTGGTTTGCGTTGCTCTTGATTCATCCGAACTGTATTATATAAACGTAAGGGGGGTGGTTATGTAATGAACATAACAACTGTTTGTTTGGAGGAATTGCGAAGGTCATGAATTAATCCTTTATAGGAAATTGAATATAACGTATATAGAATATAGGTCTTATTCCTTAAGACATCGGTGAAATAATTACACAAGGGATATTTTCACCATCACCGTTTGCAGAATTGTCCATCAATAGGAGAGGCAAGTTAAATTTTCAGTCGCATAAAAAGAAACAATAAGGTTTAAGTAATAACTATAGTGCATTTTAAGTTGAATAATTTTGGTTTTGAAAAGATTTAAATTAAACTAGAGTAGAAATTAGGCACTTAGCGGCTTGAAATATGTTGGGCAACTTTACACTCAAGGTTGGTCTCAACGTGGTTCGTCTGGCCAATATTAAATACAGATAGCTACAAAAACATTACATGAGAGAAGGCATAAAAGTAGAGAGTGTATTTTAAATATATAAATATACAACACATGGATTGATCCCAAAAGCTGACATTTTTAAGGTTTTTTGATCCGTTAGAAATGTTAGCAAGGGGAAAAGCTATAAGCCTTGTTGGGACTTAATACATGAATTTTGCAGTGATAAAATGAATGCAAACACTTTTTGTTTAAGATTAGTTTTCGAACACAAAGCACCATTAAAGTGAAGAGGCCCTTATTTTTTTATTTAATATTATATTTATAATTTGTAACCTTCGATTTGGATTATTTCCCTTCTGGATTGGGAAAGTATGTAACAACTTTAAATAGGAAATTTGACCAAATATCGACTATTAAAAACAATAAATAAATAAATCAATCCCTGAAATGGAATACGTTTAACATAAGTAAATGGTTTTTGCACAGACAAGGTAACTTGCATTCAATGAAAATTAAAGTTTACAAGTAGTTAATATCTATCACAGTTTTAAATAAATCTCATTTTAATGAAAACTTGATATTTTGCGGTTTCATATAGTTGACTATGATGCCTGGCATAAACAGAAAAAACAGCCAACGCAAAGCCCTCCCACAAGGCCTAGGGCCACGTCAGCACCGCCAAGGTTACCCAAAAGGCCAAGATGGTCACCTTCTATGGAAACACAAACGCCTGTGACACCTACACTTTCTACGTCACCTACACCACCGCCCAGGGATCCTACTGCACCTTGCATGACACCCATACCACCACCAGCTGACATGGGACAACAGTGTTTGTCAAACGGAAAAGGTAATGTACAACCTATTCTTAGTGTCAAATCTATGCTAGGGGTGTTTGTTTCCCACAATATAAAAGAAAATATTATACAGAGGTCAAATATTGATATGGCCAGTGTTGCCTTGTTATAACAATCGCGCCATTACACAAGACGAAAAAGGTGCGAAACTTGTCGTAAACGGAGCCGGCCAATTAGTAATGACCCCATGAAATACCAAGAAAATCAAAAATATAAAAGAATGGTCTGATGCATTTTAGTATTTGCAAGCATGTATGTAAGCGCTTACCCCACAGAAACTCACGCAATTATGAAGTGTGGGTCAATATAATAGGACAGCAACTAAGCGTCATTTGGGTTCATGGTCGCAGAGTGATGAATATCTGTTTCTTTTAAGGCAAGGGTCAACATGTCATTCGAGGTTATAGATGAAGAGCTAGGAATGTTGTCTATGAGTCTGAGTGCAATAGCTATATCAGCAGGGTACAAAAATGCTATGATCTCAAATATCGCTTTTGCACAAGATTGGTTTGCACTTACCGTCACGTCAGTTAGTGGAAATCATACAGTTAGATCATGCAGGAGGCAGACATACCCAAACATGGGGTGTACAGCGACCAATGCGCCCTAGAGCCGCTTTCATGCCACAGCAGCAGGTGCAATCATTAAGGCCATACGTCCCCTCTAATACGCCAATATTCTAAATGCAATTGTGATGCTAAAACTTCAACATGTTTACATCATGGTTCCTCACCAGTAAAAATTCACATACTAGAAAAATACTCGCAGCATTATGAGAATTGTAAAGATGCCAATTTTTTAGCTAATGGGTTTAAGCATGATTTCAAAATTGTATACCATGGACCAAGAGTTGCATTTGAATTTCAAAATCTTAAATCTGCTGAATAAGATATATATTGTGCAAAGAATATCATCAAAACTTGTACAAACTAGATTACGCATTTGACTGTAGGGAAAAAATTAAAGGGGAATTAGCACTGGGTCGAATTGCTAGCCCATTTGAAAAAAACCCATATGATAATCTAAGGATCTCTCCGTTAGGAATTTTGCCGAAGTCTTATGGGGGTTGGAGAATGATCACTCATTTATCATATCCTCATGGATCAAGTATTTATGATGACATTGGTAACCATTATTTTTCGTTAAAATACACATCGTTTGATAATGTAACTGCACTGATTTACGATTTTGATGATTCAGCGTTTATTGTAAAACGAGACCTAAAGTCAGCATATAGGGTTCTGCAATAAGAGTGATAGATTTTCCTTTATTAGGTATGAAGGCATCGTCGGATACCCACAATTGAAAAACATGTCACATAACATGCAATCAACCGTGGGTAAAATGAATCGATTTGCGTCGATATACAGCAACAGGTGCGTAAAATATCTACCAATGACATCGCGTTTAACAATTATATATTCTTCAACAGCGGAGGTAAAAAAATCGACTGAATATCGGTAAAAAATTCCACGGCTGATAAATGTTAATGGTTCGGCCGTGGGTATGCAACGATGGTATAAAGGTAAAAGAAATATAACATTGATCAATTTTAAACGAAGGGTTTCAGCCAAAGTGCAAACTTGTACGAAATATTTTCTTCTTTCCTTAACTGCCTTGTTATCAAACAGGCAAAAGCAAGCTCAATAGATCACCTCCTGGATGACTTTATATTGGCTGGAAGTCAAGGCACTCATAGAAGCCAACATTTAGTTCAAACATTTAAACAGGTTTGTTCGGAACAAGGCATCTGTATAGCTCATGAAAAGTCTGTAAATCCAACTACAGTAATTATTATTTTAGGTTAAGAAATTGATTCGTCCAAATTTTAATGGTCCGGATACGAGGTCATAAAATTCTAGAATTTTCCCAATTAATATCAGCTATAGTCAATAGGAAGAACATATCGTTACGAGAATGACAAAGATTAATTGGAATTTTTTTGCGGACGCGCAGTTTGGTCAAGTCGAGCATTTCTTCGACGGTTTTATAATGTAATGAAAATTCCTTTAAGGACCCTTACTTTATGCTCATAATTTCACGTGAAATGAGAAGGATCTGATTGTTTTGCAAACATTTTCAAAGGGTTTTAATGGGAGTAACCTACATACCAGAATGCAAATGGTTTAGTGGTGATGACCTGCAGCTATTTACAGATGCTGCAGGGTCAGATATGTTGGGAGCAGGTTATTGTTTGGTGGAGGAATAGTATTTCCTCGCATGGCCAAGGTTATGGAAAGGTCATTCAGTTATGAAAGATATTACATTTCTGGAAATGTTACTAGTAATATAAGCCATCTTTATATGGGGAACCAAGTAAAGAAATAAACTAAAAATGTGTCCATAGGACACGGATGCCCTCACATTCCACTGCGTCGTCAATCTTATGACTCTTTGTCAAATGTTGTTTTGGCTATATGTACCAACAGGTTGAAAACATAATACCTTTTACTATACAATAGGCAAGAACAATACAAATACTGAATAAAGCCACAAGCAAACTCCAAGGTTCATAAGTACACATGCTGACAAACATTCTTGTAAACTTTTAGGCGTAATTGTCAAATACTTTTGAGCTATGCATGAACAAGGTGCACAACTTCACATGCTGATAAATATTCCTGTTTTATGACTTTCGGTAAAATACTTTTTGAACTAAGCACAACACAAATTGAAAATGAAAATTTTCACTAAGTCATGGGCAATAACTCTGACAAATCTGAATAACTTCACAAGCGAATCCCCAGGTGCACAACTCCACATGCTGGGAAACATCCCTGTAAAGTTTCACGAAGTCAAATATGAATTACATGCTACACATGTTGAAAATTGCAAATTTTCACTAAGCCAAGGGCAATAACTCTACAAATACTTAATAAATCCACACGAAAATACCCAGGTGCACAACTTCACATGCTGATCAACATTCCTGTAAAGGTTCATGACTTTAGGTCAAATACTTTTTGAGCTACGTGCGGCACAAACTGAGAACGGATGGAGAGAAGGACGGATGGGCGGATGGTTGGACGGAAAAGGATAAACTTGGTTGAAGTTATAGCCACCATCAATCCAGGAAGTAACAATGTATGTCGCATTTCAATCACTGCAGGATTTAAGCTTTAAAATGTCAGAATTATGTTTAGTTTCCAATGCAAAATCCTGGGTATGGCACATAACATAAAAGCATTTTGTACTTAATAAGGTGTTAGATGTATTACGAAGAACAGAAAAAGCAAAAAGGTGCCCCTCCCAATAATATTAGAACTCCTTTACGGCATTCGGACTAAGCTTCCAGCAGTTTGTCGCAATCAGTATGAGACCCCTTTGTTCTCTTCGGCTTATACTCTTGCATTTAAGGATTCTTTAGGGTAGGGGAGACACTAGAAACAGTAAAGAGGATAAACAGATCATTCTAGCATTCAAAATGTCCGATTAGTAGATAATTGAAATACAATAATATGTTTATAATATGTTCATTAATATACTCTTAACCTGACGAGCTCGGTAATGGCATTTTAGTTGAACTTCTATCCGTCCAGTTGCTGTGTTGGCTCGATATAAAGCTTTAAGACCAAGGTGTGTTGGTACACCACTGACGTTACCAGTTTTCGTCCGTATATAGTTTTTACTTTTACTTTTTTTACTTTTTACTTTTACTTTTAATCTTATTTTTTTTGGGCAGGTAGGCCCCATTTTGTTAATCATATAATTTCTTATTGTAATAATTGAACAACTCTTGTTTTTTACCCTGACACATCTTTGAGTATTGTTTGAATTTCTAATATGATATTAATGCTACATGTAGCTGTTATTATGAATGTCAATTTGTTTCCTGGTTAAGAACTGACGACTATAACATGAAGGGCTTGAGTTTAGCAGTCCTTAGGTTTTACAGACAAACAATGCATGTGGGTGGTAGGATCATCAATTTTTAAATGGGCTTTCCCGTGGGCAAAGAAGAAGAGCAGAGGAAAGTAGCCTAAGCTTCAAGCCCGGCTATGATAGTAAGGCTAAAGTAGTCTGATCCTGCAAAGGATTAAGGAGAGACTTAAGCTTCTATTTAGGGTGGTACAGAATTCCTATTACTCCATGTAGGGGGCAAAGTTAAAATGCATAATACAATAAAGGATATGATAAAGGTCGTAAATGGTTTATTTGTGACAAAATGTCAGGAACAAAGAATATATGGTCGAAATATAACCTTGGGAATGGGGGCAGAAATTTAACCAAATTTAATATCGACAATCATACAAGAGATGGAATACATTTGTCAGATAAAGGAAATGACCATTTTATATATACATATATTTAATATCAACTTTGGGTTACAGTACTTCCTTAAGGGTCAACAATCATGGTTTGCAATGTTGATTAATACTAAAACAATGTAAAACTTCAAAATTATAGTGTGACCTTGACAGTGTGACCTTGACCTTTGAGGTAGGGACGTGGTTCTTGGACCCGACACATCGTCTTAATGGGGTAGACATTTGTGGCAAATCATTTCAAAATCCTTCAATGTATGACAAGGTTACAGTTCGGACATGAATAAAAAGGGGACGCACAGACAGACAGACGGACGGACCTTGCAAGAAATATGTAAGTTGTAGGATAAAGCACTTTCCTTGGAATCACTAAGAATTATAAGAATAATTAAGATTCATGAATTTCTTCCATCTCTAACTACAGTGTTTAAATCACCTTTACATATTTGCATAAGGGTGTACGAGGAATGATTTAAAACAGTGTTGACTTTTACTGTAAATGTTATATAGTTCAATTTATCTTAATATACTAAATAACACACCATGGGATTAAGAATATATACTCTTACAAAATATAAGAAAAATACAAACAACAACAACAACAACAGACATTTCATTGAAAAACTACATACAAAAGAAAGCAGTTGTGAATGCTGATTTCATTATGTCAATGATGTTGTGACGACCTTTTTATGAAGAAGCATATATACAAGACAACTATTTGAAAATAGTTCTATTCAAACTACCACTCGCTCTCAATGGTGATGATTTTATTGTTGGAAAATTATTTGAAATATTTGCTTTGTCAGGTTATGTGACATCATTTTCAAATTTTGACGTCAACAGT